TAAAAGCATGCACCATCACCGCCTGGTATGAACTTAAATTTATAATAATGTTGGAGGTAGGATGATCAGCCATCGCTAGGATAAACTTTCCTTTTGAACATCTCATGCTTCTGTTTGATAAAAAAATCAGAATTTATTAGGTTTATATTTGACCTCTATGTTTTCTACTCTGACTTTCACTTTTCTTTCATTCAGAAAAAAAATATATATAAGGCTTAGAGAGCGTTGGTGATTAATTCCTAAGTAAATAGCTGGAAATGCAGTTATTCAAACTGTGGAAGTTTAGAGGATTATCTTTATTCAAGAAGGATAATCCTATCCTAGAACTAGGGAGCATATTTTTATGCATGTATTACGATTTTTTGACTGAACAGAATATACTCTTTTTGTTGAGTTGTATATCAACTTATAAAACTCCCTGGGAGTAATTTACAATATTCCTGAACATACAAAGGGTTTGGACAACTCTAAATGATTCTCTTATAACTTCAGTATTGAGCCATGGAGTCTTTAAAGAATATCTTAGGAAGGAATTATCTTTGGGAATTTGTTTGCTACTGGAAATGACTTCTATTTCACTTTACTGAGTTTTTTTTTTTTATTTAGCAAATATAGTTAGTGTTTATAAATGTGTTTTTACTTAGCTGGAAGATAGACAATGTTGTTTGTCTCATAGTAACTGCACTATATTTCTTCATCACTAGGTTGCAATTCTTATCTTCTTATAGAAAGGCGGCCTTTTGTCTCCTGGTGATGTAGCAAATGTTGCTGATATCTATGGTATTACATATTGTGACTACCTATGCTATTAATGATTACAAGTCTGTCCTCCAACTGATGGCTTCTTTTTGCTTCCCAGAGATATAGTATTTGTTGAGCATATGGCTATAACTTATTATCTCTCTTTCCATTATTTGTATCTTATCAGGCTAATGAAGATGTTATGTGTATCATATAAATAAGCTCAATTTTTATCAGATATACTATTTTGTATAATGCAGTTTTAAACATTTAGCTTCAAGTTTAAAATAAAATCAGATATATGTACACAAATAAAAGAGTAGAAGAGATTCAAAGAACTGTACAATGCATGTTTCCAAGAGAAAGGGCTCTAAGACAAAAATATACTCATTTTAAGTAAGAACGGGTGCAAGGATGTTCTGAAGGTTTTTATCTATAATATTATATCACTGTTAATGGGAAGTCAATGTATTTGTTTCCCAGACCCCAAGAAAGTCTATAATCAGACCCTTGTACTGCATCATTATCTTCATCAGTATCATCTTTTATGCAGTGGGGGCGTCTTTAGGGAACATTAATTGCTAGCTATCTCTTAGGTACTTAAGGGCAATCTTGGAACAATTACCATGTATTTATGGGAATGAGGTATTCATTTATTTATTGCTTTTCTTCTAGCATTCCCATAGCACTTGACTCCAGCTGATAACAGTATAAACAGGCTCACTGATTTTTTCGGGAATTGCTTTTCTCTTATGCCTACTATGTTCCTTGCAGCACCTCAATACACCCTTATGGGGCTCACTCTTGGCAGTTAAAACTATAGTGCTGATTGGCATCAAGAGTGTACTAAAGCTATCTTTTCTCATCAGTTTCTCGTAACAGATATGAGAATTTTTTTTCATAAGAATAAGACTGTAATACTGGTATGTGAATCACACAAATTTGTCTAAATAGAAGTCACCTATCTAGTTTATGGATCTAATCTTTCTGTTGGTTATTTGGGTGCTTATGAGAAATAAACATTTAAACTGATGGCAAAATGTCAACAATAATCTTAGTAAACCTATTTATTTGACTTGGGATAATTATTTTGTAGTGTCATAGCTCTTTCCTTTTTATATACCCTAATTTAAATACACATAAAATATGATAACACACAAAATCATACTACTGAATGAAAAGACACATGATTTAATGTATTTGCTGGTGGAAAATAAAGATCTCTTACTTTCTAAACTTTGAGTTTTTTTCTGATCACTTATTTCTAGATATTTTATGTGTAAACCTTTCCAAGAGTACTTTGGCATCAAACTTAGCTTGTCACTCATTTTAAAAATTAAATTTTGCTTGCCATATAAATAAAAATATGAAAACAAAGGAATCATTTGAAATAGTGAGGCTAATGACAGAGTCAACAGATGATGCTAAATTCAGTATACATAAATGATTTATCTTGTATAGAAATCCTTTGCAGTCTTAAAAAGGGGACTGAGATGCTCCAATAAATGATATCTGGGTTAATTTCATAGTGTTTTACAGACATAAAAGTTCAGGATAGAGATTTTAAGTAATTTATCCAATGTGTACAAATCTTAACTAGCAAGAGCAGAATTCCAGTGATTTATTAGATTGGTCTTTTATTGCTGTGAAAAAATGAATTTTAAATTTCATGACTTGAAAATAGTTTTACATGAAATTTTCAGGCAGTTGGATACTATGTGCATTTAACAAAATAATTGTACCATGTTATCCCTAGGGTCTCTAGGGGTGAAGAACTAAGAACCCAAACTATAGGTTCTTGGCCAGATTTATAATTTCAAGCACGTGTTTCCCTCTGTGGAGCAGAACTTAAGTCCAACTAGAAAGCATTTGGTTACCATGTTAACGTTTGCGCCACTCCTGCACACGAGCATATGTATGTCTCTGTTCATAGAGCAGTATAGCTCGTGAACTTCCTCAGAGAGGCATCTTTATATAGTGGATGGTGGTTCAAAGTGAGAGACGTGTCAGTGGAGGGGGTCATCTAGATCTCATTCCTCCATCCCACAAGGCTCAGAGACCATGACAGAAGGGGGAGTGGAAAGTCAGTAAGACCAGAGTGAAACAGTGCTTTCTCTATCTAATAGGAATTCATAGTATGCATGTTTGTTCACCCAAGACTTGAACAAGATTAAGCCAGTCGACTTTCTAGTATAGCAGGGGAAAAAAAAAAACTTACAAGCCTCAACCCCTATCGGAGGAGCTATGAACAATTAGAGTTTTAGGAGGGGAAGAGTGACTGATTTTTATGGATGAGGCCCCTGATACATTACAGTACAAGTGGATGGTCCCACATCTAGAGAAGTATGTGGGCAGCAGAAATTTGACCCAATGGAATATTAAAAATAATGAAAGAACACTAACTTGGAGTAGATCTTGGACCAGTTAGAGGAAGGGGTGGGAAGATAAATATAATTAAAATATATTTTTTTTTCTTCACAAATAGCCAGCTGCTGGTATCTGAGTAGTTTGGGACTTGGGTAGGGTTGTAATGTCTGAGATGGTTCACTCAGAAGCCTGGCATTCAGAGCACTTTGAATGGGACTGTAGGCTAAAGTATCTTTATTTTCTGCTTTAAAAAATGTATTTATTTATCTTATTCATTCTCCCCCCCCATGTGTGTATGTGTGTGTGTGTGTGTGTGTGTGTGTGTAAGGGAGATGTGAATGTGGCTGTATGCATGTCACAGCATGGTGTTGAGGTCAGAGGTCAGATGTCTCAGTTTTTTCCTGGCACCCTGAAAAATAACTCAGTCTATATACACGCCCTCCAACCTATTGAGCCATCTTTTTGACCTTCTTCGCCTTGCGATACTGCAACTTGATTGATTGTTTTTACTAGACATGGAGGTTGAGTTTCAGGAGAAAGAATTCTAGATTACAAACACCAACAACTATATACAACACCACGTGTCTTACACTTGCTAATGTCCAACTGGCTAAGGTTGGGCACATGGATGAGTTCAGAGTACTTGTCTATGATACCTACTCATGGGTAAATATTGAAAGACTGTTAAAATAACTTCAACAAAACCCCCACTAAAACGCTTAGCATTCCAATCACTTTTCTCTGCTTTGTAAACTCTTGGGGCTGCAAGTAATCTGCTCCCTTGAGCACATTTTACCAATGCCTTGTGTGAAGTATATGGAGATCTACCAAGTAGAGTTGAGCAATGCTGTTAATAGTTATGGCATTTCTAACCACAGCATAAAATTCAACTTCCCTTAGATGGTTTGAAAAATATCTATTTATTCATATATCTTTTATTTATTTATTATTCGTCTGTGTTTGCATGAGTTTATATGCACCACATATCTACAAGAGACTGTGGTGGATTGAAGAAATCATTAGGTCCACTGGAACTAGAATTATGTATGGTTGTAACTTGGCAGTAGGTTCTGAAAACCCAGGTCCTCTGAAAAAAACAGGAGCTGCTTCTAACCACTTGGCCATTTCTCCAGACCCTACTCCTATCTTCAATAGCTGTTAAAGAAATTTTAATTCTGTAAATAAAAATATACTTTCAAACATCAAAATGATTTCCATGGCACACTTAATGCCAGCTGTGCTGGACTTTATGTTTAATTCATCAGTGAATAAAAATGGAGAAATATCGTTACATTTTGTGCCTTTATCATTGTTCAAATATACGCATCCAATTTCTTAAAGTATAGATATAATTTTGGGTTTTAAAGCAATTTTCTTTAAAAAGAATGACCTTGATTCGATTATTTCTATAACAGGAGGATTGTTATTGCAGTGGTTATCTTTTATTTTACTTTATATCAACTATAATAATTTATTAATAATGCTATTAATAGAGCTGACCTCCAAATAGAATTTTTTGTGGAAATATTTTTCTCTATGGTAAAGCATTTTACATTTGTCTATGAAATGCATTTTTAAGTGGTAGTATTTTATTTTAATGAATCAAATATTGATTTCAGTCTTCTATTAATATTGATATTTAGAAAAAATATAAATCCTTTAATTCTGAATCATTATGCTAAGTTAAATGAGCATATTTTAAAGGTAATGTCATTTCAAAATGCCTATGCAAACCCTGATAGTGTTTAGGCCTCATAGCAGGACACTGAGAAGTGATGTCAGAAGACTGCATTTTAATGAAGCTGTTGTTGTCATAACTATGGCATTCTATTATGAATTAATAAAAACTAAAAGCAGTATGTGAGAAGTAGTGAGGAAAATCAGAAACTCACTTTTGGTGACAACACCTTCTAGGCGAATGATGTTGGGGTGGTCAAACTGACCCATGATGCTCGCTTCTCTCAGAAAATCTCTTCTTTGTCGATCCACGTGACCACCCTTCAGTGTTTTAATAGCAACTGGGATCTCCCTTTTCCCTGGTGTCTTCAAACGCCCACTGCAGACTTCCCCAAATTCACCTTACAAAACAAAGCAGAAAACATTGGTTTAAAACAAATCCTTCTAAACCAGAAAATCCAAATTACCTTGTTATCATTTATAAAAGAACCTAAAACATGTCTTTTAAATTTGCAATATTTATTTGGAAATGCTTTTTGTTTAGTCAGGAAATGCCTGATGTATTTATAATGAATAATAGACTACCTTTCCATGTGTTACACCAAGGAAGCTCTGTTGAGGGGCATTCCTGATCTGCTGCAGAATTATTTCCATCCAGCAGAATTAGAGGTAATAATGTAAATCTAGAGAAAAGCAATAATTACTAAACTTAGCTGTTCCTGTTCTCTGTCCTAAACTCCTGAGCCAAATGCCATCTTTGTTCAGAGAATTCACCAGGTTTTGTTGTTTATTTGACCTCTGAAGTCAGATGGCTATTTTATGACAATTAGAAAGCAATCTTGTCTCAATTAATTTATGAACATTGAGAAAATCCATGCTGAACATAATTGTAATAACTGATTCTATAGGATACAGAATTATACAAGATATATTGATGAAAATATAAATGTATGAAGATGAGTTGTTTTAGCTCTAGTTACATCAATAGATTAAATAAACAAATATTTTCTAAATAGTTACCACATGAATATCTGCTTTTAGGTTGCTGTGAGATACAAAGATGCATACAGTATTATCTTGAACTCATAGAAAATAAGGAAACGAATGCAAATGAACCACTTAGAGCATTCTATCCATGTAAATACTGCTTTCCTTAAGAACATTTATGGCTTGAAGACTTGCTGAGAGAGTTACACCTTATGCTGAACTGTGAATGATGGGCAGGCTGACCAAGTACAAGAGCAGTAGGAACAATAATGATGGGTGTGGTGAAGGTGTGAAGAAAATGGAGAAAAAGATTAAAAGGTAAGAAACAGTAAATGAATGATGAAGACACGAGGCGACTGATTCTGGGGGACTGTCATGGAAATGGCCACAGTATTTCTCAGGGTAACTCAATAAATTCAATAAAGATTAAGGTGGTGAACAAATAACTCATTAAAAAGTGGGGAGGCTTGTACATAGGTATGAATGCCTGAGTTTGACCCCAGAACCCATGTTAAGAACACAGATGTAGGGGAGGTATAGACAGGTGGATCCCATCCCTGGGATTCACAGTTTAAGCCAGCCTAGTCTACTAGGCAAATTTCAAGACAATGAGAGCTTGTGTCAAAAGCCAGGTCAATGACTTCTGAGAAACTACTTGAAGCTGTCCAACTGTCCTGCATACATAGCTGAATACAAACAACTTCCCTCCAAAAAAAAAAAAAATAATAACAGCTTTAAGATTCCAGAATCTAAATTTTTCTAGGAAAAATGATCTACATTTACTTAAGATCATAAGTTTGATGTTCATTTAGTAATTGGTAACATGAAAGCACTAAGACTTTATGTTAATGCAGTGGATTCCTTTTTTGCAAGAATAAAGGAAAAATTAAAAGTGGCATTATACCTACAAATATTTATTAACTGTAAACTGTCAGGGCTGAGAATGTGGCTCGGTTGCTAATGTTTGTCCAGCATATATGAAGCTCTGGGTTCAATTCTCAGCATAATATAAACCAGTCACGTTTGGACTCTTCTGGGAAGGCCAGCCATGGGGTGCCAGTCAAGGGGTACTGCACCCCCTTTTTCATGTCTGGCTTCTCAAGTGCCAGCCAGACCCATATGTACCAGTTTGGGAGAAGCTGCGTGCCCTCTCACATGGTTGCCAGGTAGGGGAATTTCATCCCCTCTTCCACAGCTGATCTTGTCAGGGCCAGACATGCTGGGGTGCCAGGCTAGGGAAGCTGAGCCCCTCTTCCACTACTGGCCTCCATAGTGCTTACCAGGCCCTGGGATGCCAGATCAGGAACCTGTGCCCTCTCTTCTATGACTGCTCTCCCTTGGACCAGACGAGGCTTGGGGTACCAGGCCTGTGAGGGTGAGACCCTCTTCAATGACTGACCTCTGCAGATCTTTCCAGTCAATCTCGGAGTGTCAGAATGGGGATGCTACACACCACTTCAATATCTGGCCTCCCCAGAGCCGGCCAGACCCTTAGCTGCCAGATGGGGAGCTGCGCCTCCTTTCACATGACTGGCCTCCCCAGGGTCAGTGGAAGCTAGGCCTCTGTCCCACAACTGGCCTCTTCAGTGCCAAAGAGTTCCTAGGGTGCCAGTCTTGGGCAGATGTGTCCCCAGTTCCTTGGCTGAGCTCCTCACATGGTGTCATGTGGTGCAAACTGGTGAAGCTGTGCCTTGTCTTTTATGACTTCCAGGAAGAGAAACTGTGTCCTCCTCTTACACGTCTTACCTCTCCTGTGCTAGACAGGCCATGGGGGGCCAGGCCAAGGAAGCTGAACCCCATCTGCCATGGCTGGTCTCCACAGGCCAGACAAGACACTAGGTGCCAGGCTAGGAAATATCCACCCACTCTTTATTGCTGGCCTCCCTGGGCAGACCAGACACTGGGCTGCCAGGCTGAGCAAGATACATTGACACATTCATGGCTGCCAAACAGGGACTGTGCCCCTTCTTTTGTGGTTGGTCTTCTCTGGGCCAGGGGTTATAGGCCAGGGAAGCTTGCCATGCCTTGGCGTGAGCAGTGGAAACTACAAATTTTCCACATCTGGCCTCCCTCGCACCAGCCAGGTCAATGGTTGTCAGGCCAGGGAAACCGCATTCCTCTTCCCTGGCTGATCTCTACAGGCCAGGCCTATCCCTGGGATGCCAAGCCGGGAAATTCCACCACCACTCCCAGAGGTGGCCTTCCCAGGACCAGCCAGGCCTTAGGGTGGCAGGCAGAAAAAGATATGGCCCCTCTTCCATGGCTGGCCCACCGGGGTTGGCCAAGCCCTGTGTTACCAGTATGGAGAAGATGTGCCCACGCTTCAGTGATTTTCCTTCACAGGGCCTGGCTAAGTGGTCAGGAGATCTTGTTGCCACTTAAGAACTGAAGTTAGGATCCCAGCACCCACATCACTGGTGCTTGCTGACTTGTAAGTTAACTGAAAAACTGCGAGATCCGGGTTTAGGGAGAGAGACTGTGCCTGCAAGAAATTAGGGGAGAGTGATAGAAGAGAATGCTCACATTCTCCTCTGGCTTCCACAGGCTCCTAGCTACACACCTACACACTTGCTCATACACCACACACTCATGCATATACAAACACATTCAAATACATACACACACTAACCAAAGCTAAGTAACAAACCAATCACACACACACACACACACACACACACACACACACGATCAAGTATTATTCATCAATAACTTTAGGTTATTTAAGTGTAAATCTTTTAATGGTGGAAAGAAAAAAAAAACCTTAAGTCTCTTCAGTTTACTGGTTTACAGTCCTAATCAATTGTTGGATGAGGATAGAAGATCAAATTATAATTTGTGGTGTTTTGGGTTTCAGTTATCCATACTTTCTTTACATCAGTTCATCACAGACAACCAAATGTTGACTATATGTGAATAATAGCCACTGTTGATTAATTTTAAGTAAAAAGACAATATTTTATTTCTAAAATTATATGCATACGTGTCTGCTAGAAGTAGAAAGTCAAATAAGATACTCAGTTGTCATTTTTACTTTATTATTATTATTGTTATTATTATTATATTTATTACTAGGACTAGTAACCATATATTACAAAAGAAAAGGCACCTCCTCAGGAGGTAATAGGCTGGTAAGCTGGGAAAGGTAGTTTCAAAGCTGAGACTTTGTCTTTTATACATTAAAAATTCACACAAGCAAGGACATGAAAACACTGGTTGTATGTTGTCCCTAGAGAATTCAGTGCTCATCTTATTGGACTTGACAAATCTTGCCCAAATTTTGCAAGAAATAAAAGAATATATTTTTAACTTGAAGCTCTCAATTTGTTGGGGGACAGATATTCATATTTCACAGAAAGTGAAGCTGAATTCTTTCTAAAGTTCTTTGATAGTGCTTGTGATTTTTTAAAGATTTTATTTTGTACCTAGAAATAATAGCTGATGGAAAATCGCAATATTTTTCTCAGCCTCTGGGACCTTTGTGGAGAAGAGATGTTTTAATATGTGTAAACTAATGTCAAATATACACAAGCCTTCTGAAGGTATTAGAAATTTGTTCATCAATCACACCTCTACCCCTAATAAATATATAGAAAAATAGGACATTTTTATTTGCTTTTTCTTGGTCTCTTATTGTACCTGAAACCATCAGCTAGCATTAATAAGGACTTGACAATATTTAGGAACAAAGTTGGTGGCCTAAGTCCAAATTTATTTGATTTTTTTCCATTCACATATCATAAGAATTCAAATAAACTTCTGAGTACAATAAGATAGACGATGGCCCTGCTGATGTTTTTATCAAGACAGAAATAGTAGTAATTTTCTTTGGTTTTCTGCTGTCTGAAACTCATGCATCTTATTAACACCAGGCAGGTGTTTTCCTCATGTCAAGCTTTGCTTGATCAGGTTGCTATCACACCTATTTCACCGGCACTAAATATGGTGGCCTGAGATTCCAGCTCTCCTTCATTTCTAACCCTTTGAGACAAGGAAACAAAAATGTCACACTCCTGTGTTATTTAAAAAAATCATGTGTATTAGTTTTTGGAATGGTAAATATGCTGTAAGGATCTGAGACTCTTAGTGAATGTTTTAGGCCTGGGCTAAAAAGCTCACTCACAAAATTTGTTCTTTCACAGAAGTCCTGGATATATCACACATATGAAAGTGTTTTAAATTGAGGTATAATTTCTTTCTTTCTTTCCTTCCTTCCTTCCTTCCTTCCTTCCTTCCTTCCTTCCTTCCT